ACACAATTTCAATCGATCAATATGATGTTTTACAACAATCACCACCTGCTAATAATAATGATTCATCTGATCAATTACTTTCTGCATTTCAATTAGCAACAATGTGCATTAATGAAATATGGGTTGAATCATTTACTTTAGAAAAACATGTTGGTGAAATGTGGCGTAAAATTCCTTATCATCTGCCAAAGGCAATAGCTACTTTTAAAGTTGTTCGATTATTATTTCAAATAATGGGTGAAAAAATGCTATTTTATCTTAATTCACAGGAAGGTAGTCGTTCCTATCCTTCAAAATTAATTCTTGATACGTTTTCGAATAAATTAAATCAAGTAATAAATGATTTTTTCGAACAACATACTCGAACAATTGAAGTCGAAAATAAAAAAATTGCAATTATTTTACTTACATCAAATGATGTTGAAGTTGGGTACTCTTGGTGCCGATGGAAGTTGGAAACAATCGCAACTTTATTTTCAACCAATAAAATTCAACACATTGTTGATACACGATTGGGAAAAACAACAACAACAACAACAGATTTCTCATTAACAAAGTATTATATTTTTCACTAATGTATATTTTACCGAGAATATTTAAACTTTGATCAGAATTATAACTCTAAATAGTTTTTAATTTGAAAAAAAAACAAAACTGATGATTTAAAAAGACGGAAGACGATTTTCTCTATTTAATAATATATTCAAAAAAAAACTATTTGTTTTTTTCAGAACAATTGATGAACGACGAATGGATAATGCAATGACAAAAATTTTAATGACTCCAACCATATTTTTTACAAATGGATATCTATCAATAAATACTTCACGAGGTGGAAGTGGTTTGTTCAAGCAAAAAAATGTTACTGATCTCAAGCCTGACATGGTTATGGAAAATTTATTAGAAAAAGGCTTTCTGGTAAAATGTAATGTTATTCAAGGAGCTCGGCCATCAAAGAATAACAATTTATCATCATCTTATTACAAACAACAGCCATCTTACTTTGAACAATCAGAATCACGAATGAAAAAACTTCAGGTACTTTTTTGATTTTTTGTAGGTTTAAATTGACAAATAATTGAATGCTCCCAAACCTTTGAGTAGAATCAATTTTGAGTTATGGAAATACAACATCGCTTATTAATAGAAAAAAAAATTTCAAATTGACGACAACGAGTTTCAACCAGAGACTGCATTTTTTATGTTTAGAACATGGGAGTCAATTTCAACGAATACAAAAAAATGTACAACAATTCATCATTGCCGAATAAAATGCATTTCAATGATTCTGGTATTGAATTAATTAAAGGTGATGAATGGGTACAATTTTACCATACATTTCTCAACAACCCGATGGCAAAATCAATGATTGAAGATAGAGTTAAACTGGGTCAAATTATTGAATTCAATGGTCGTTTTGGTTTAAATAAATCACATATGAATGGTACCATATATGAATCTGGAAAAAAAACGACAAGTACGTTGAGTAAGTTAATCTAACTGAATAAATTTATTTTAATTATAGATAAATCAGGTCAACAGGAAGTTGAAGAAAATTTGTACCTTGGTAGTGTTATCAATAGTAAGTTTGTTTTTTGATTATTCTGTTTGCTTATTTGTTTTTAATATTCGTCTTTTAGATGCATTTTCAGATCAGTCAAATCTACTTGCATCATCATCTTCTGATTTTCTTCCACCAAGACCAACAACAGATGAATCACCAATGGAAATTGAAACTTTCGAATTATGTATTGATAAAGAAAATATGGTTGATGCTTTTCATCCAAGTAAATGATTAGTTCAGATTTTATCTCTTTCTGAATACCATCGTCTTTATAGAAAAATAGCATTCCTCTTCGTTCTTCAGTCTTTCATATATTTTTAAAGCTAGTGAACAAAACAACATTAAATTGCTAGATTCTATAGTTTTTCATTGCTTAGATAAGCTTAAATTTCTTTTAACTTTAAAAAAGACTTGGACTGATAATACAGTTTCATTACAGCAAAGACTAGAACGAAGCTACAAAAAAAAAATACTATGTACATACAAGGAGTGAAAGACAAATTCTCAACCATTTTTATATATCATTTTTTGTTCATGAAAAATTGATTGATGTTGGTTGGCTGTAGTAACTAATCATTCTTTTAGACACGTTTCAAAATATAAATGCTTCAATATTGTATCCTTTTTTTATTAGCTGTAATAATTAATATTTTTATTAGTAGATGACAATTCTAATCCACCACGTCATTCAACACCGATCAATAATAAAAATAATTCTTCTTCAACAATTTTACCTGGTATAATTTGTTTTGTTCCCTTTGACACAACAATAAATCATCTCTGAACTTTCTAGTTGATCCTGTAACATCATCTTCCAATCTACCTGATGGTAATGGAATTATGATTTTGTCTTCTGTGATTAATAATGGTTGTTCTTCATCACCAATCAATCGAAATTCTTTAATTCAATCCATTTCAACCGATTTTTCTTCTCCATTACAACTGATGTCAAGTAATTCGATTAACAAAATCATAGAAGTATTAAATAGTTCGTCGATTCAACTTGGTTTAACAAGTCCAAATTGTGAGTATTTTTCTATATTTTCTGATACCTTTGACAATACCAATAGCTAGCTTATTATAACATGTGAAACAATTTACCGATGACTATAAAATTAAATATCAATGATGAAAATTAAAAAAATTAAATTAAAAAAAGATCGAATGTTCTATTAACCTTAGTGAATTAAATATAAAGATGTAATGAGTCTTGTTTTTATCATGCGTTTCCTTCTGAATGAGTCATTCATCTCTAACTATTCTGTTCCTTATGTAAAAAATCATCAACAAACGACGTATTTTTTCATATTATTGATAATTAAAAATTCCTAGGGTTTATTTCAATTGTAGATATTATGGAGCATCATCAAAGTCATGAAGACAAACAACCATACATCGATGGTAAATAAATCTACTTCTGGAAGAATATTTTTTTGATAAAAATTTGACAAGATACAATTAAAGAAAATTTAATTGCAGATGTCGTCGTCGATGTACTTCAAGATATGATTAATCTTATTTCAATTGCACAGGTTACTGTTGCAGATAGGTCATTGGTCATTTCAAGTGAGTTAGAGTGCAGAGAAATCAGTTTTTTGAGAGATAAAAAAGTATAAGGATATATTTAATATAACTAATATTACAAATCGACAGTAGTAGAAATAAAAAACGTACAATACATTTATGAAAGACATATGTATAGAGATAAAATTCTTTTTTTTCAGCAACAACCAAGAAACGTGGTCGTCGATCATTATTAGAATCAACTAATCGATCGTCTATTACCACAGCAGGCAATTTCAACTTTTTTTCGTTACCATTTTCGAATTCTTTTTATTTATTATTTTCTAGAAATTGCTAAAGTTGTTGAAAATGATAAGCATCCAATTTGGAAAAAATTGATATTAAACAAGCATGTATTAGCAACATCAAGTGATCTCTCACGAACTGTAACCGGTAGTGATGGGATTAATGCAGCACGTCAGAGCTGTATTGAAAAACTCTTGGATATTGGTTGTTTTTTAAATGGTGATTCTTTTCTAAATGGAAAACAAAAAGCTTTTTTGAAAAATTCCCCTGAAGATGATCGACTTATTTCAGCACTTAATAAATATGACATTGATATAAATGAATACAAAGAATCGTTTAATAATCATCTTCCTTTTATATACAAGAATGGCATACCAGTTCCTGCTGTTTTAAACAACAATACCAACAAAAACAAATTTACACAAGCATTTGTTGACAAGCTTCAATCTGATCCATTTTATTCTGCTTATCTTCGAATCGATCTGAATCATGTGGTAAAGCCCTCATTGTTAAAAAGAAAAACCACATCAAGTTATGGTGAGTGTATTCCTAGATATTGTTGATTTTATGCTCTTTGTTCCTTTTTAGAAACAGATTTTTTTCGTGCACAAAAAGTTGCAAAACGAGCACATCACGAAAAACATGATTAACAACCAACTAACCCAAAAGAACATTGAGGCGTGTGATAATAAAGAAAATATTCAAATTTATCGAACAATATGAAATCAACAATTAATTTTAAAAAAAGACAAGTATTTGTATACTTCTACGTGATTTTTTTTCTCTCTTTGATAAATTTTCTAATTCAAAACTTGTATTTTGTTCGATCTAGTTTTCATTTTTACAATACGTTCTGTTGAAAGATTGTATTTTATCTCTTTTGTTTCTGTCACCTTATGTATTGTTTCTTTTTCAACATACGTATCAAGATTCTAATACATTTATACTTTCAGTTTTCTTTTTCTATGTTATATACATGATGTTTTCTGTATATTTTTATTTTTATCTTTCTATACATATCATATAGTTTTAATATTGATGTATATTCATTCATCATATTTGTACTAAAAGTGAGAAATATCGTTGTTTGTATTTATTTGTCCATTTTATATGCGTTTATTCATTTACTCACTATTTTTTCTTGTTGTATTTAAAATCTTGTCGCTATAAATTCCTATTTATATTATGAAAATGTTCAAAAGAGATAATAGAAAGAAATAAAGAAGAATTAAATTAATCGTTTCTCTATGTCTTTTAAGCTAAAAAATTAAGTAGAGAACATTTCACTCTTCTATGCGAAAAGCAATTTAGTCTAATATGACAGTTTCTTAACGTAGAATCATGAGATTTTGATTTAAATAAACTAAAATAATAACTTTCATTTAATCTTTATAGAAACAAGAATGGATACGAAACAACGATTCATGAATCTCCTTAATATATTATCATTTAAAGCTACTCGTTTACTAATTGCTTTTGAATATGCAATGCCATCATATTTAAAACCGAAAAAAACATCATCTGTAACAACTGCGCGAAATCAATTTGCACGTGAATTAATTCAGCACGAACTTCAAGAAACATATTCATTCGACCAGATACTTCATTGTAGAAATATTATTAATGCTAATACAACAAGTAAAATGGAAATGGGAATTAATATTGACTTGCAAGATATAATTAATCGTTTTAAAATCAATCACCCCCATCATCCATATATACAAGATTTAAATACAATTTCATTAGTACCATTTCGTACAACGTGTAACAATATATTAGGTGATATTGAATGTGGTAATCAATTAAAAATCGAATTTCATATGACAGGTTTTATTCTTTATCCAACATCAATTCAACCGTGTACATTATATAGTGGTGAATGTGGTAGTTGTAATAGAAGTTATCGTATATCGTCAATCTATTGTTACAATGAGAAAAAAATTATTATTACTCCAGAATCACTTGAAAAAAATAATTTTTTT